AACAATTCGTGTACATATAAAAAATATTTTCAACGTGACAAATTTATTTGAAGAACGAATTGTTCCCTAAATTTTATTGATCCATTCATCAAGTCGGTGGAAGATTTGTAGGTGATAGAACTTTGTCGTTTAAATTTGTATGACAAGTTTATTAGTCATCGTCATATGAAAGCAGTAAAAATGAAATTGTGGTTGATCGTCGATGCAGTGCTTTAGTTTAATTGGTAGTTGGTCTACGGAAAAGCAGGTAAACGTCGGTTTGTTAATCGACATTAAACAAACGCTATTCAGTCTGCTGCTTTGGAAGCCCATTTCCATTCGTTCTACTCTTCCACTTCCTCACAATGGGGTAGTCCGCCAGGCAAAAAATGCTTGAAATACGTCACGAAACCGTCGGCTTTTCACATACTCTCTAAATGGCCAGTGCGACGATGTACCATTGCCATGTCAGAGCTGAATCATATTTGTATTAAATTGATTGAACATATAAAAAAAATTAATGATAATCAATTAAAGAGTCGGCAGTTAGAAAGATCCATCGATTCATTTTCGACCGAGACGATCGAAAACATTCTTCGTCTTGTCTTTTGCAAGTCGGAAGCAGAAGCGGTCGTTTCTTGGTACTCTCGTTCAAACAACTAAAGTATATCAATAATCTATTTTTAAACAACTCCGTTTGCTGGATCTGCTTGATCAACCATCGCTGATCAGTCGAAAAGATTGCATCTGTCACAGCACTTTCTCCGTGTTCTGCTCCGTCATCACTTCCTCCATTACCACGTTTCATATAGGAGAGAGGTAAAGCCATCTCACCCCCTTGATGGAGGACTTAACGGTTTTCTAAGATCCCACGATAGTCATCAGACGATAGCCGCCGTCGATTGTGGTCAGTAAAAATAGTAGGTTGAGATCAAATCTGTTTTGCATCTCCTTATTTTCATGATGACATCTTTTACTCCATCTTGCTGTTCGATTTCTGCATTGAAGATCTGTCTCAGAACGAAATAACCAACGTCCTCCTTTTTAGTAACTCTCTCAGCTGCGGACAGCTAATGGTACTGCTGTTTCATCAGTGATGTGTTTGGTTGATGTTTGGCATCGTAAACAAGGTGGTTGTATCTAAGAGTTACGACCTGTTGATATGCTGATTTCCTCAGGTAGGAAGTCTTTGATGGAGTTGAACTTGTGCTGATTTGCTTTCCTTTTTAGCGAGATTTTCGCCTTCTGGTCGTTTCACGTGTCAACTTCCTGGCGAAAAGAAATCTAACTTTCTACTTCTTCTAGCCCTCCTTTTTCATCAACCGCTATTTAAGCCTTCCGCCACGCATCGCATTTACTATGCGTTAGATCAACTGACTTTTAATCTGACTTGTTATGTTCATGCAGTTTGCTGGTACTTTCTACAATCAATACAATGCCATCAGCAAACGAATCTGACATGACTAAGCAGGTAAGCCATTTCTGGACAGAACGTGAAAAGCTTTCGAGATACTGTATCTTGCTGATTCACGATTTTCTGGACTAGGATCAGAAGGGAACTGTCGAGCGCCGGAATAGGAAACTAGTAAGAAAATCATTTCCGTAACGGGGTGCGCACAGCCTTCTTTTTTCATAGCCAGATATTTTAACTTTAATGAAATGGAAAGTTAGGCATCGTCAGACAGCTTATGCCGCAAACGAGATTGCTGACAATTTTCAAATCGTAAATCAAAATTATACATCATCAACAGAATTACCTAAACGAAATTTGGAATGAAAAACAAGAAGTCATTTTAACCTTGCGGCACCCACGTATGGTAGCCTAGGTACGACTTTCCGTCAATTTTGCTTGACCTGTTTTTCCCATGGTCCATCAGAAAATAGCGCAGTGAAATTCTTCATTATACCATTCATCCCCTGAACAGAGAATGACGTTTATGAATGAATTAATCGATACTGGTAAAAATTTATTGATTATCGTTAGGCATCGTAACCTTTAGAGTATTAATCATAAGTAATGAAAAAAAATTTAAAGCTTACTTTGTTAGCTAAAACAGCCAGACACTGTTCGAATAAATCGAATTCGAGTTAACAAATAATGACATTGTGTGCGTCATTGTTCAAAGAGCTGCAACATGTCGAATGAAAATTTTTCAAATCCTGCACCAGTGGCGATTTTGCACATGGCAGCAATGCCTACGCTCATTTACACTTACAGATGATGAAACGGATTTTGTAAGAATCTAATAAATGCATTTTCCTTAACAGATATGTTAATTACTTCAGTTAAGAGTGCATAAAGGTTTCGCAATCGATCTATTTCTGTTATAAATGGCAACAGGTTATACTTATCGGAAGCAGTCAAAATGGTATCTCTGTGGATGGCAAAAAACAGAGGAGTGGAAACGACAGAGGTAACATGAAAAACGGTTCTTGAAATAACGAACTTCGTCTCAGAAGAAATTATACAAAGCGGACGGTTTCAGAAGGAAGAACAGATGCAACTCCAAACGGCAGGAACAATCTGTAGCGTAAACGCTAATATTCAAGTATCTAAAATTCGCCATACATGATACGGATGAACCTGATGCAAATTAAACGATCGATCGAAGAAAACGTATGAATGAAACTGAAAGAGAGCTGAAGCCGTACCAAATTTATAAGATGCCCTTACAACTAAATGGAAAGCCGTATAGGACAAAAGCAATATTCGTATACTGCTGAAAGCAGTTGAATATTTCACACGAAGAAAATAACCACGCAGCAGCTGAATTCCATAGAAACACAACAGACATATGGTAGCAGAAGAAATGACACATTAAATGTAGCCAAAAATCAAAATCTAGTTGCACGTCAGACGAACACCTGACAAACACGTAAGAAATGTGATCTCAACTCTTACTCTAAAATTTAAAGCTTGAAGATCGAAGACTTGGCCAGTGATGGCGAATGTGCAACAACCGGACTTACTAACATCAAGGCGACCATACTAGGCAGAAAAAATTAAAAACCTGCCAGTCCTTCCCCGTGGCAGAATTCAGCTTGGTTTAATGAACCACGAGGTAGAAAAATTTCCCGATGCTTACACTGTGATACCTTCATCCGATTACATACTACTGATCGATGACGAGCGACAAACGAAACTCTACGTTCCTCTTATACCTTCACATTTTAAGCGTTTCGTGATCATTCACTTAACTGATCAGCCAGTTCGTAGCGAACTATCGATCGATCATGATCACATCATTTTCAACATCAATACCGTGGATCTATTGATCAGCTTA